CCGCGGGGGCGGGAGCCACAACCTCCCCCCATGTCTGGACCCTGGCTCCATCCCACGACCTACCCCTGCCCCACTCCCTCACTGTGGGGGCCTCAGTCTGCCCCCCCCACACACACTCCTGCCCTCCCCCACACCTTTCCCACTCCATAGACTTACCTGCTGGGTAGTGTGTGTGTGTCATGGGGGGGGTGGTCTGGGCATGTGTGTGTGGTGTTGTGTGTGTGCCCCTCACTCCCAAGCTACAGCCCCAACCAGCTCTGATGCTGCCCCTCACTCCTGACCCACAGTACCCCACATCCTGCCAGGGCATGCAGGAACCCCCATCCCCAAGCTCCAAACACCACACACAGCCACAGCCCCCCACACCTTCACAAATTCCCACACCCACCCCCTACCCATACAAAGTACCTGCATAATTTTGCATAATTTCTGCAAAATTTGCATAATTTCTGAGTTTTTCTGCACACAATTTAGAGTTTTTAGCTGTGCTGTTAAAATCGCGATTAATTGCAACTAATTTTTTAAATAGCACAACTAATTGCAATCAAATTTTTTAATTCTTTTGACAGCCCTAACTTTTTTCTTTTTAAGAAAAGCCTTTTATAAAGTTGGAAAATAATGTAATGCTTGAATAGCTTATAATATTGTATCCTTTCCTAGTGCACATCAGTGCAACACAATTGGAAGCTCAATTGCAGGATCATAGAAAAGTAGCACTGGAAGGGACTTCAGGAGGTCATCTAGTCCAGTACCCTGCTCAAGGCAGGATCATTCTTAACTAAGCTATCCCCATGTCTATCTCTGGCTGTGTCATGCAAGGCAGAAGACACCTTAGGCCTCCTCTATACTACAGATGTACCAAAATCGCAATTTTGCAGAAATCGCAAAATGGGCATTGCCTATGTAATCTACGGAAGGGGGGGAAAAAACTTAACTGAAAATAAAATGCTGGCTCCCCAGATCGCTCTGCGGTACAGATGTGCAGCCTACCAAGGGGAAACAGGAGAGGGGCTGCCCACACAAAGGGCAGCCCAAGATGGCTACCACCCCCATCCCTCACTGCTAATCAGCTGAGAGGGCTGCCTGTCATGTGGCTCCACTCCTCTCCAGCAATTGGTGGTGAGGGGTGGGGATTCATGGCGGACAGCCCTCACAACTAATCAGTGGCGAGGGGCAGGGGCCGTATGATGGACAGTCCCCACAGCCAATCAGCATTGAGGGGTGGGGCCACCAGGGCCCCTTGGCTAATCAGAGGTGTGTGTGGGGGGGGGGTGTCCTTACTGTGATCAGCCTGTGGAAGTGGCAGCTGGCCCTGTGATCTCCCTGCAAAATTGGCTGGGCCCCTCCTCAAGTAAGGTAGACCCCCTACACATTACATATAACACACAATTACCAAGTTAATTGCACAATTAATTTAGACCAGCTACACATGCAAATTTACTATCGCACCTTAAAAAGGTCCTACCAGCTATAAAGTTATTGCTGGAAAATGGGTAATAACTAGGGCTGTGCGAAGCTTCAGTCTCTGATTCGATTTGGCAGAGATTCAGCCCAATTTGGTGGCCGAATCTCCAAATCCAAATCAAATCAGGAGACTCTTTAATCTCTCCAAATGGAATCGGAACTGTGTGAATCGATTTGGAATGATTCGGAGACTCTGACATAAAGGCAGCTTTAAATGTTTTTTCTACATACCTCAAGGTACCAGACAGCTCATCAATGCTGTGATGCTGGGGCGGATGGAGCATCCCACAGGAGCACAGCGGGGCTTCCCAGCATGCTCGGCAGCAGACCCAGAAGTGGACTGCAAGCACTTCCAGTCCACTTCTGGATCCACCAGGGATCGTGCAGGGGGGGCCCCTGGACCCCCCTCGGCTCGGCAACAGGTGCCTCCTGGGCCTGGGGAGGGGCACCCGGGGTCTCCCCACGGCTGATTGCTGAGCCGGATTGAATCACTGTTGCCAACTTCAGGCTGAATCTGAATCGAATACGGCCTGCTTCACACACCCCTAGTAATAACTTTATAGTTGGCTTTTATTCAGCTTTAATTTGCACATGTAGCAGGGTCTTGCCTTGTGGCTGGGAGCATTGTCAGCTGATGGGGCTCTCAGCCCCAGGGATGCATCAGGTGCAGCCAGGGATGGGAATCCCACAGGTGAGGGGACTCTAAGCCCTGGTAGAGCCCCATGGCTGGGAGGGAGAGTCCTGCAGCTGGCAGGCCTCTCCCTGTCCGCAGTGCCTCATAGCTGTAGACTCTGGGTCCCAGCAGCCACAGGGTATGGCCACAGCTGTGAGTCCAGTCAGCTATAGGGCTTAGCTGAAAGGATTTTAAATAGAGAGGAGTTTAAATACAAAGGAAAAAGGATGGGTGGGTGGGGGTACTGCTAAGAGGCAAAAAGTGGGCTGGAAAGGTCAATAGAGATAAATAAAGCAGTAAATATGAGGGACATAGGAATAAACAGGAGTTGAGATAAAACAGGTAATGTGATAGGAACCCATAGTCTGTGGAGACTGTTTAACACAATTCAGTCTGGACACCAATTTGACATCAATTCCAGAAACAGGCAAACAAAAGCCTGTGGCATCTGGACTCAGAGCATCCATCTTATAACTAAATAACTTTAAAAATCAACATGAACATGAAATTACAGAACAAAAAATCATCCACTGCTCCATCTCAGTGTCCTCAAGACTGCTTTGTCTTCTGCCATTAGGGATTTCAACCCCCTGAAGTAGGGCCAGAGACCTGGGTACCCTGTCTCCCATTCCTCAGCCTCTTCCACCTCCTGTGTCTACATGAGCTCGTGTGCCAAGTTTGAGGCGTCCATAGTTTCTAGGTGAAAACGAGGTGAATCATGGATGCTGTTCTGGGTGAGCAGACAGCCCCACCGGCTCCTCACCTGGCAAAGGAGGCGGGTGTTGTTTCAAAGTCTGACTCCTGTTGTTCTGGCTCTCCAGGGCTTATCAGAGGAGGTTACTGAAGCCTGCCAGTACAAAGGCTAAAGAGACGCTCACACCTTAAAAGTCTCAACCTCTGGCTTGGAAGTTAAAACTAAGTACACAGTTAACTTGCTAGTAATCTTCCAAAACCCTTCTGAAACTGTCACAGCTGCTTGTTTCCTTGCCTTGGAGATCCAAAGATTATCATC